CAAATATTGAAGTACCTTGAGCAGTGCTAAAGAAGTCCCCAGTAGCACTTTTATGATGATCAGTACCATTAAAATGATTTATCATAAATATATCAAATAACCACTTAAATTCCAGGTGCACTTCCTATGTGCAAAATATTATTTCATCAAGGCATTTTGCGCTCAAGAATCATATTCTTATGTTGCCATAGAGCTTTAGAGGGTTTCCCAAAAAGCATTCTATACGTTACTAAATCGTTCAGTTGAGATTCCTAAATCTTCCTACATCCACTGCCATTATCAATTACAACAAATTAAAAAGCATTGAGAGAGTATCAGATAGATTTGTTGACAAACACTACTCTTAAGATTCTCCCTAAGCTTCTCATTTACAATTATTTTACTTTTGAAAATGATGTGTATATTTTACATTCAGTGGCTATTCCTTTCCCTTTCCTTATTTATTCTATACCTTGTAAATAGAACATTCTACACAGGATGTGCCCTGCTTTTTAGACTCCTCTAGCCTCTGCCTCTTCGTTCATTATCTCGCTAAAAACTGATAACCAAATGAGCCTTGTCAAGTTATAGGGACAGGGTATGAGGTCCCTGGGATATATTAACCTTTCTCTGACAATGCTGTTATCGGAAACAATGAGGGCTCCTACAGCTAATCAACAAAAGAACGAGCGGGTTACCAGTCAATTAGCCCTCCTATTCCTATTGTGAGTGCTTATATACACCACTGCACCCAAACTCAACAACGTCGTCCATACATGATCACATTTTCTTAAGACAAAAATCAGAAGGGTGCTTGTGAGTTCAAATGAAAACTTTTCATCGCTGGCGTGATATTGCTGCTTTATTGTGAGAACACAAGTTAAAACAATGCTCTGAATGTAATCAAATGTAAATGTAAATGTGAAGCAATAATGGCGAAAAGATGCCCCAAGCAGGACGAGATGTAAATGTGGAGCAATTGAGGTGAAACGATGGTCTAAACGTGATCTGATAGCCATCTGAAACCATGATGCTAAAACGTTAATCTAAACGTAAGCAGATGCAAGTGGGAAGTGATGATTGTAAAAAGGTGTGAGTGTGGCACTATGACAGTAAAAAGATGCTCTAACTGTAATCAGATGTAAGTGTGGAGAGATGTTGGTAAAACGATAATCAGAACGTGATCAGATGCGAGTGTGGAGTGATGACGGATGTCTTGTCACATGCTAATCCATCATCGATGGTGAGGAAATTTGCTACATTTGAAATAACGTTGCCTTAGCGTCCGTTTTGGCAATGAGACGACTGCCTGTTTACACTCAAACAATCGGGTCCTGTATGTATTAAAGGACCACAATGTCAAATCCAGAATGGATTTCATGAAATAATTCTGTAACAGTGGCTGTATAAACACTATAATTACAGTCTCAAATATAGGTGCGAATATATCAACTTGCAGATGCAACATTGATCATTTTTATCAAAATTCTGCTAGTGAGACAAAGATAATAACAGAGATATTCTTCCCCTAGTGAGATTATTGCAATATGATACAGTCCTATTCAGTCAAGATATGTTGCAAATTTCCTCCAACAGAACATTTATTGGTACATGCAGGATTTCGGACAAAAAGAATGATGGAATATGATCTTGATGTACGTATAGCCTTCAGATTTTGATTTAGAGCAAGAAAGTTTGCTCAATCTGTTCATCTTCTTTATCATGTTTTGGTTTTTTTCTCCTTGATCACACATTTATAAAGGATTTAGCAAATCTTTGCAACACAGTATGTACTGTACATGAACATGCAAGGTTTTTATCCATCTATTTAATTCCAAAATAAACACTAAAAACTGAAACTTCAGGCCCTATCTAACACAGAGTCACAACCGATCGATATCAATCTTAAGCCCTTCAATTAATTGCAAACTTACAAAATCTTTTTAGAACAGAGTTGTGATTTATATCAAGTTGCGATCGATTTTAATCAATCGTAACTCTTGAAAAGATGGGACCCTGATTTATCAGACAGGCACTTAAAGGGATTGGGTATCTTGGTCTCATATTCTAAACAAAATCCTGGATTTAGCTCATGCTGCCATCATAATTATGAACCTTTATGTCAGTCAGGAATCCCATGACGTTTACAAGCATATGGCCCGTCTGATTATCATGATATTTATGATTGGAAATCGAAATTTCAAAACCTTTTTCCCAACGGTTTTTATAACACTACAGTCTATCGAGGAGAATGAGTATGGTAAAACTGGTCACTGTAAGATTTATACTTTTTTGAGGCACTTCATGATCATTTTGATGCGCAATTTTTTTTAGGGCTTCAATATTACACCATATCAGACACTTATAACACGTAGGGCCATGCATCTCAGATTTAACATTGGTAGACGATGCCTTTAAGAGCAGAGTTACTTGGGCAATGATGGGGAGGGAGTGAGTTTTAATTTGTAAACATTTTGTAGTCCAGATGGATTTTAACTCCTTATGGCACTCGTGAATCAATTCTTCAATATATTGACAGTTCAGTGCTAAACATCAAGCCCCACCCACCCTTTAAGAGCAGTTACTAAGGCAACGGTGGGAGGGAGTGACTTTTATTTTTTTTTCTTTCTGCATGACGCATGAGATGAGGAGGATGAGTCCCCCCTAGTGACGTGAATGATCTAATGACTAGCTGAACTAGAGGGGTAATTACATTCACAGAGTATGTTTTCTCTTTGGTCCAGCTCACGATGGCACAGATTTGTGAGAGGTTATGGTCATTTACATACATGGATGTAAAGTGTACTGTAGTGTACACATATTGCAGGACTTTGTCTACAATTCGATTCCTTAGGAAAAGGACGTAAAATTACATTTTTGTCAAATTTTTCAAGTTTTTAAAGTTTTGAATGCCAACATAACACATCGCTGTACACAATTATGACAACATACACACTGAAATGAACTATGTAATCAAAGAAGGTTATTATAACTTTGAAATGCATTTCTCTTGAAATATTATAAATAGCATACATGTACATCCATCATCAATTTATTCATTTTGTGCATTTCTTCCCTGCACACCACAAGAGCTTGAAGGACATTTTAAAGTACCGTAAATCTCCGTGTATAAGGCGCACTTTTTTGCCGCCGAAAAAATTTGAAAGTCGGGGGTGCGTCTTATACACAGGTACAGAAAAAAAAAGTTTTTTTTATTTTTTTTTTTAGTTTTGATTTATGGCGCTATGCCTGGCAATGTCTCCTAGCTCAGTAATCAGTGTGGTGACTCACCACTCGGAAACTACAACAACACTCAAATTTGTCTGTCATCTTGGTTTGAAAGTAATCTTTCTAATAGATCTCAATATGTAGTTTATAATAATAATTCCTCAATTTTTTTTCTATAACAAATGGTGCACCACAAGGTTCTATTCTAGGTACTCCATTGTCAGAAATTTAGAGGATGCTATTCATATCATGCATGACTATTGATGTTTGGCATACATGTAGAACACAGTGCTTCTGCTAGGTGATGTGAGGAGGCTGGTGTGGGACACTTGGTATCATGAAGCCTTAGACTGTTGTTACTGTTATTTTTGACAAGTTCACAACTTCAACTGCACCTCGATGTAAAATGAAGGTCCTTCCCCGCGTGGGAACAAAACAACAACAACAACAACAACAAAACAAAAAAACCATATTTTTTTTTCTTTTTTTTTTCTTTCCCCCCCCCCCCCCCCCCAAAAATAGGGGTGCGCCTTATACACGGAGATTTACGGTACCTGTATCAGTGAAACCCTCTCTCGCTTTAAACACATATTGAATACCTGGATGGAGATAAAACTTTTTCGTGCGGATGTTTTATCTTTTTGTGTTCTTTGTATTTTTGCCCTCAGGGTTGAATCTACATCGACTTCCGACAGAAATCTTCCACTATCTAAATCTGGCTGTTGTTCTATGTACTGTATAGCCTGGTACGGCCTACAAAACTGAATTGCTCTAAATTTCTGTTTCTCTGTTCCTCTCTGACCCTCTCTGTCTAGACCTCTTTCTCTATCTCTCTCTCTATATATCTATCTCTGTCTCACTATCTCTGTCTCTTCCTCTTTCTATATGACTTGGTATACCGGCAGGAAGTAATTAATACGTGTCGGTTTTGATCAGGTCATCACAATCTCCCAAGTGTCTTCCTTCCGAATATGTGTACGTTTGAATACAGCCTTATCTTTTCAATCTTTGATTCTTATCAATTATTAATAGCATACATCATCGGGCAGCTTAATATCAAAGTAGATCATTAATGGTTTGTGAAATAATCCTCAACCCCCTCCCCTCATTTTCTCTTAGTCTGTACTTGTCTTTATAGCCAACAACATCATCAGTAATGCTCATTTTGTGCACTTTTATCAAAGAAAGACCATGCCACACTTGCTATTAAACATTTCTTCAGTAATTACCACTTGCAGATGAATGACTGCCACACAGATTAACAAAATTAAAAAAAATAGAAAACCATGCCTGAAAAATTCAACGATTAGACATTAACAGTAGACATTAACTGAAGAACAGCACAAAAAAAAAGTCGCGCAAAATACTGATGGGTACTTAGTTACGTGAATATCCAATCATGGCCCTTGACAATGCCTCCCCTAACCAACTTAATTGTTGATTGATAATAACGACCCTCAACCCCAGAGGAAATAGAGGTGGAATATTAACCCTGCTGATGCCGTACAAGGACTTCTTCATGCAGGAATCAAAGGGCGTTGACTTAAGGGTAACAAGGGGTTTGAAGGCGACGACTCTGATTTACCCAGGGTTCGCATGATTACAGCTATCCATCAACAGGTAATTTAGAAGGCAAGAAATTTTAGACCGGGAAGTCGTCAACATGGATGTTTATCAGTGCGACTTTAGAAGCCAGCAAATTTGAAATGAAACCTCTAAATACATATCAAAGATATCATAATCATAATACTATTTTCACACCACAAGTACACAAGCAATTTTTCATTATATAGTTTGGATGAATGTTTATTTGGTGTCAACATCAGACATGTTTTCATCAATTTGTTTTCTTCTATATTTTCAATCATTAATGGTACTTACTTACGTTCAAGGCCTACTCATAAAGCATGGAGTAATATCAATTATGATGCTTAATGATGATTGTTCTATCCCTAATTATGGTAGATGACTCATTGGTTCATTTATATAATAAAACATAATCTCCTTTCAAATGATTAAAAGCATGGGCTCACAAGAGAGAGAGAGTTCAAATGTAATATGGACTACATGTGTATCAAGCATTACATATGAGAATTCAAGACTGAAAGCAAGCCTACATGGAAGATCTAGTGCAGAATATTGCCTATTTTGCATGAAAATGAAGGAAAAAAATTGGCAGTAAAAAACTTACCTTGAAAGTGTCAAACTGCGCATCTCCCAGAATTCATACATTAAGCTTGTAATTCATCTATCTGCATATAAAAAGAGTTGTAAAAAAGAAAGGAGACAAATATAAATCATTTATCTGGCATAGTCATTGATGAAATGTACTGGTACATGCAATATTAAAACGACAGGTAATTGTAATAGTGACCAGCAATAAGATATGATAAATCATTAACCACATTAAGGTGGTAATTGTACGATCAAAAATGCATTAAAAGTTTAAAACATATTCCACAAGGTCATATTTCAGTACTAAATGCACATTTTAGAGTCAATTGTGTAATGAAATGTTTTATGAGTAATAAGTCTTCATGAAGAGAGGCATTAAAAACATTATTAAATAAATTGTGTACTCCCTCTCGATTAGCCATCATTCTTCCTCTCTCTCTCTCTCTCTCTCTCTCTTCTTGTCTCTCTCTCTCTCTCTCTTCTTGTCTCTCTCTCTCTCTCTCTCTCTTTTCTTTTCTCTTGACCCTTTTTCTTTTCCCCATCTCTGTCTCTCTCCCTCACCCCCTCTATTCTCACCTTTTTATCTCTCACCACTTCTCCTCTCTCCCTCTCTTCTCTTCTTTCTCTTTTTCTCTCTCTATCCCTCTCTTTCTTTCTCCCTATCTCTCTCTCTGTCTCTCCCTACATATCCCATACAGTTTGAGCATCCTTACTCTCTGTGATGTACATTAACATGCAGCAAGAGAGTCACCAAGGGAACTTATGTTGCCATGGAAATGCAAGGTCTGTCGGTGAAACCTTTCACATGCATCAATTCACCTATAAAAACAAGAGCCAACTTCCTGTCTAGGACACCCTCGCTTGGTTCTCCATGTACATGTATATAATCACCAAATGATACACAGGTACAGGTACCGGTACATGTAGCATAGATGGGTTGCCTCAGAAAGTGGCTTGGACAGAGAGATTGTACACTTTGAGACCTTCATGTACATGCACAGTACATGTCTATAGCCAGGTATGTTTCAATCTTTAAAATGACAAGATTTACATGAAAGTACACATTTCGCCTGCTAGGATATTTTCTTTTGATTCAATCAGGATTTTCCTCTTCAAATCGCTGGGAGATCCTAGCATAATGCCCCGTAAAACCATGCACGATCAAATTCATCAGAAATCAAGGATGGAATAATGGAACAATACCAAGCTATATTTAACATATTTTGATTAAATTTCCTTTAGGCTACCAATAAGATTCTCCTCCACAGAACTCCTGTTTCACTGTACATATTTGCTCTTCTGCTAATTTGTATTTTCTAATGAAAATACCAAACACAATGGTCCTCCTTCCCACTCTAGATTACACAATCAAGTCACTTAATAAATGCAACGCACTTGTTCAGAAACAGCCAACATCTTTTCAGAGACACAAGATTATCAATGTACAGTATATTGTCTGTTATGAGCCAAAAGAGAACTGTATATATTGTAGTGTAAGCAATACACCTTTTTAGCTCCAAAACAACAACACCCAAAGGCAGTTACAGATAGATGAAAGAAGATCTTTGTCATGTTCAAGTACACAATATTGTAATTTACAACACATACGTGTACATGAAGAATGTAGGTCTACATTACTGTAATCAACTCTTGTGCCAAGATAAATCATCCTTTGTGTATGCAGTAAATGTCAAAAGACTCTGATTTATCCTTTAACCCTGAACTTCAGGTCAACAAATGTGCATGTTGTTGAATTGCGGGCGAAGAGAATACTCTCTCTACATGAGACAATAGGACTTTTTCATGCATTGATGCACTTCAAATACTTTGTTGTTTACTCTAAATGTGCCAAAAATGTCACACTGGAATATCAGATCAACATGCAAACAGATAAATGTCCTTGCTTTCTTTGTTTGCTTTGCTTGCTTTGTTTTAAAAAGAGGAATTGGAATTGATAGTCATTAAGTGAAAGATTCAGAAAATATGATCCCACGGTTTTTATAAATGTTATAGTGAATGATTCATGTACAATGTGTAACAATCATTTCCATGTTAGTTTTCTATTTCTATTATCGGCACGACAATTAAACTTTGAATATGAAAATGGATAAGGAAATTGTATCAACACAGAAAATCCAGCGTACGACTGCTATCAAGGCTTACATGTACAGTAGTTAAAATTATAACCATTACTGAATCGAATTGAAATGTACTTGATCAATACATACAGTGTACAAATTCAACATAAGCCTTGTTTACATTTACAGTGGTTGAAAGGCATTATGAATCTAGCTTGTTACAAGGCAGGCAGGCCGAAAGGGTGTTCATACACGGGAAGGTGAGGTACTGTATAATAGCAATAACTAGGCTCCTTGACCGAGCTGACAATTGATAACATCATTTTCCCCTCGTGGCCTTCTACCTTCCCGCAGTCCCAGGAAGGCAGGCAGGCAGCTAAGCAGCCTTCAGATGTGTGATACTCAACAATGTAGGTCTCTCTTTCTCCTTCAACTATTGTCCAATAATCGAGGCACGCAGCATCAAGTAGAGGCAGTTGAAGTGCAGAAAAATCAAGCACGCAAGGCTCGGTGCTACTAGCTAGGGGCTGCAGTGCACAAAGACCCCCTTCCTTGAATTTTCAGCCCCCCTCCCCCTGCCCTCCATACTGGAGTGTAGGAGACGGTGCTTACATGTATGTACCCCTACAATTTCACTAGAGACCCACAGAAAACAAAAATGTCTCTCCTTCATATTTGTCTCAAAATGAGGCACGCAACATCAAGAAGGGGCAGCGTAAGTGCAGAAAAAAATGAAGTATGCAAGGCTTGTTGCTATTACAATTAGGGGCGGCGATACACATGGAATCCCCTCCCCTGAAATTGACCCCCCCCCCCCTCTTCATTTCAGAGTATGAAATAGGAGATAAAGCTTATATGTTACCCTCTAAAATTTTGTTCTCCGCCCACTAAAGAAAAACAAGCCTAGCGCTCTGAAAGATACTAGTGTAAAAGAGAAAGAGAGACAAGGTCTAGGGAAAGAGAGAGCTGAGATGCAAAGCCTAAGAAATGCTCCCAGAATGAAGAGGAGAATATGTATCACCCCGCATCTTGTCTCTTCAAATCAACTTTCAGTAATAAATTGTACAAACAAAAAACATATAAATGGTCACCGACATTTTTTTGCAATTATTTCATCGAAGCCAAGCATCCTAATTACATAAAATTAATCATCTAAATGGATCTGCAGATCATTATAATATATATATATATATATATGTGGAAATATGGACGGGCAGGCGCTGAAGTGAAATGAAATGAAAAAGCTCTCGGGAACATTTCCCTGGGACAAATTCAAGGTTGATCCAGGGATGTGATTCTATAACCCAATGAATACTACATGTATGAAGCATGAGATTTAACTCAGGGTGGGGTATGGAAAAGATATATGTCATATATCATTACCATATCCAGTGGGTTAAGATTTGCTTGGTAATTCTACAAACCGACCGTACTGTAAACATGCACAATGAGAGAACCCTGGATGTTTCATCATTCAATATGATTGATCAATATATGTACCAACATCTGATCCTAGCTTGTTCTCACAGTATGTTTGATCTAGATTTTATGTACATACACGAATACAAGCAGAAGAACAGCGCTCTTTTCAAGACTCAACTTGTTGAAAGGGTAGGATAAATATAGAATTCCAGCAAAGGATATCTACTAAATATGATTCATGTAGATATTATTATGATTTTTTTAATACAAAATTAATAAAATATACTAATGTAATACCTTAGTCACATGGTCATACCGACTTCAAACCAGTTCCAAACTGACTTATTCTCAGTCCATAGTGTACAAGTAACATTTAGTTGGAACTACAATACCTATTTTTCACACAGACATATATCTTGCACATGTATTTTAATCAATTAACTGCTTTACTACCCATCTATTATTTATGCAAACCTCCTCCATACACTGTCATATACATGTACATGTACATTCAATGCCTGCCAAGTTTTACCCATGGCAATTAGCATGGGTGGGGCCTACATGTATGGTTTCGGTCTCCTTCTCATCCATATGCAATGGATGCCTTTACATGTAGTTTACTTGAGCAAGAATTACACTCACACCCTGCTCCCTCCTTTACACTAACGTACCGTAAATATCTGTGTATAAGGCGCACCTGTGTATAAGGCGCACCCCTATTTTGGGGGCGCAAAAAAAAAAAAAAAAAAAAAAAAAAAAAAAAAAAAAAAAAAAAAAAAAAATCGTTTTTTGTTTTGTTGTTGTTGTTGTTTTGTTGCCGAAAACCCACGCGGGGATGGACCTTCATTTTACATCGAGGTGCAGTTGAAGTTGTGAACTTGTCACAATTAATAGTAACAACAGTCTAAGGCTTCATGATACCAAGTGTCCCACACCAGCCTCCTCACATCACCTAGCAGAAGCAGTGTGTTCTATGCCAAACATCAATAGTCATGCATGATCTATTAGAAAGATTACTTTCAAACCAAGATGACAGACAAATTTGAGTGTTGTTGTAGTTTCCGAGTGGTGAGTCAACACACTGATTACTGAGCTAGGAGACATTGCCAGGCATAGCGCCATAAATCGAAACTAAAAAAAAAAAAAAAAAAATTCTGTACCTGTGTATAAGACGCACCCCCGACTTTCAAATTTTTTCGGCGGCAAAAAAGTGCGCCTTATACACGGAGATTTACGGTACGTAAGATGCGTTTGTTGCCTTGCATACTGTAAACGCAAAAATATTTGGGGTACATTAATTTTCGTGGATTTAACGCTAAGATCGGCAAGCACGAATTTTAGAACTCGAGAAAATATTAGCATGACTTCTTAAGCGTGTTCTAAACGGCTGAATTGCGTGCAACGCGAATTTAAGAACCAGCGAATATGTTTTGGGGTCGCTCAGCACAAAAAATTAATCACGCAAAAATAACAGCATTTACAGCATACATGGAACTGGGAGTTCCCTCACATTTGCGTAAATGCTGACCGTTGCTGGAGGGTGCCGACTGTGTTTTTTTTCTCAATTAGCTCAGCTG